ATTTTATGCTTGAGCTCTAAATGGATACCACTCCGGGATCAGCTGCAGCAAGCACAGCCTTCCTCAGCAAGACTTTTCAACAGCTTGCATCTTCCATCTATTTTCGGTTTTTCTCTTGCCCTGGTTTCCATAGTATCTGAATGCTTCATGCTCTTAAATATATTTGACACTTGCAACACCTTGGTGAAGTAGGAGGTACTAGGGCTCTTTCTCTGTAGAGGTGCTGGGGCTGTAAAAGCTCAGGGTTGTGATTGAAACTAGGCTTTCCTAAATGCTGAGTTTGTAACTGCTGTATTAACTTTTCCCTGGGGATAGCAGGAATAACAAAAAATCTTCATGAAACTGTCTCTCAGTAAAAACTTGGAAGGGCTCAGTGCTGTAGCTGCTTGGACCAGAGGTGGAATTGGGTACACTTGATGACTGAGGCATTCTCCTCTAATCCTGTCTTCAGCTATTCTCTATTCAAATGTCACATTTCTTTCTCTCAAGGAAATGAGAGAAAGCATGAGAATGCTAGATTATGTTCCAAAATCAGGTTGCTCATGCTGTAAACTTATTCCCGTGGAACATTTATAATGTAATGTCTTAATACGGTGCTCAGAGATGAAAGATAACTGCAAGATAAAGAACTTACAAAGAAAGATGAAAGAAACAGATGACATGGGTATGAACCCAAGATGCTAGGGGTGCTCAGTTCTTTTGTTTTGTCCAAGCCCTGTGGTTCCCAGACTAACACATGTGGCAGAAATAACCATCTCTATGCAGGAATGTTTGGGGGCAGAGGGAGAGGCCAGATCAAATCAGCAGAACTTAATAACTGCTGAATAAAACCAGGTCCGAACTGAACTTGATCAGGTCAACTGAATATTGCATGGTTCTAGAGCTGATGACTAGTCTCCCCTAAATTGCAAAAAGAGGGCCATGTTCCATTGTTTTCTGACTAGCTTTCTTTCAAGCATTGGAAGAAACAGTTTGCAAACAACTAAAACTTTTTGTGTAAGAGGCAACAAGGGATTTTTGTTGTTTTATTTTTTATTTGTGTTTGGTTTTGTTTTGGTTTTTTATTGTTTTTGTTTTTTAATCCTCAAAGAACAGCTGCTCTTGATCAGAAAGATATCTGGAAACTTTGATGTTTCATTCCAATCTACCCACTGTTACAGACAACTTCTGATAATAAAATCTACAAGCCTTAAAACTTAGCTAATTTTTTGTTTGTTGCAAAGTTAAAACATTAAAAAACACTAATCTTAAATTGGTTGGGATAACATACCCAATGAAAAGTAAACAGCAAGGTAAACTTGGTAAACAAGAGAGAATGAAAGTTTATTGCAACTTGAACTCTTACACAGTGAGGGTGTTTTTCTCTTAGCCTGGCTGTCCTGGAGCAGTTTTCTCTGCAGAATCTTTTGCTCCAGACAAGAAACAATCACATTGTAGGAATGAATTTTTATCTTCTTGAGATACTATATTGTTGCTTGGATATTTTCCGCCAGGTCTGTCTTAGTCCCTTGGCTCTTCTGCGTGGAGACCAAATTGGTAGAAAGGTAGATTGTTTTGAAGGATACTTGTAAGATCCTTTCCTGTCCCACCCCCCTCTTTTTTTCTGGGCTGTTGTGAGGATTACGTGCCTCAAGTGCTGTCTCCTAGGTGATGTGGAAATTCAGATCTCCAGCTTGTATTTTCTCCGTTCCTTGATGCCTTTAGGAGCTGGAAGGAAAGGGCAGGCACTCCTAGTGCAAAGTGTATCCTGCTGTTCCAGAGTCCTTTGTTTGAGCCCTTCTCAAATTGACTGGACCTCTTCACCTTTTATGTTAAGCTGCCCCTGTCTAAATCCAAACACTCATATGCCTCAAGAATGCAGGAAAGTATAGATGTGTTTAAAGAAAATGCCTTGATTTTTTTAATTTTTTTTTTTTTTTTCCCCACTAGCAAATATATCTCTGCAGAAGAGAAACTTCCTGGGCACACAATGTGGTTTTATTTAATTTGTGACGCAGCATCTCAGGTTTGGGCAGAACCTGTTCCTTTATCCTCTGGGAACCATGCATCTGATCTCTGTTGTGTCCCTTCTAGCTCACCCTTGCAGCCTCCTCAGTGACAAATACAACATGTTTCTTCACCTGCAAAGATGACCAGTGATTTCCCATTTTTTCACTCTCTCTTGGTGCTGTTACTATCTTTTATTTACCCCTTAATCCTGTTACTGTGGTATATAATTCTCTGTCTTGGCTCTGTAAACTCTTTC